AGTAAAGCCCACTTGGAAGGGGGGTGAAGCGGGCAACTTGGGAGATCAAGTGCATGGCTTGACCTTGACTTAGGGTTTTATATGTTGGCATACTTCCAGGGTCCCTTCTCCCTGATTCTTCCCTTGGAGTGGGCTGTCTGCATGGACAGTGGCCTGCTAGTGCTTGGGAGGGGCCACATGCATGGTATGTTTACTGGAGTTGTATGCATGCTCCCTTGAGGCATTCTTCCCTTACCAGGGAGTCTTATTATAAGGTTATAAACCAGTTAACGCTGCCATTTCCCCTCTTAGTCCCCATGCATGAGCCCACTTGCCCAACTCCTGAGATCTTATCAGTTTCAGTTTTTTCTATTTATTGGGAGACTGTTTTTTCCTGGCACGGGCTGTGACCAATTATTATTTTAGAGACAGCTTAACAACCGCCTGTCACCTGATGGTTGCCTGTTATTCCTGGTGGGGGAGGAGGCCCTTTCCTGCCCTGCTCGTGTCTGACTAACTACTGTAGCACAGGTTTTTAAAGGCAGGGGTAAGGCAGTGTGCAGTGGCTCACACCTGTAATCCCAGCACTTTGAGAGGCTGAGGCAGGAAGATCACTTGAACCCAGGAGTTCAAGAACAGCCTGGGCAACAAAGTGAGACCGCAACTCTACAAGAAATCAAAAAATTAGCCAAACATGGTGGCACATGCCTGTACTCCCAGCCACTCAGAAGGCTGAGGTGAGAGGATCCCTTGGGCCCAGGAGGTTGAGGCTGCACTGAGCCGTGATTGTGCCACTGCACTCCAACCTGGACAACATGGCAAGACCCTGTCTCAAAAAACAGAAAACAAAACAAAACAAAAGGCAGGGGTAAACTTCAGAAAAGCAGAAGCTACAAGGAACATTGTAAATCGATGCATGGAGGTTCCACTTTTTTTTTTTTTTTTTTTTTTTTTTGAGAAGGAGTCTCACTCTGTCACTCAGGTTGGAGTGCAGTGGTGCGATCTTGGCTCACTGCAAGCTCTGCCTCCCAGGATCAGGCCATTCTCCTGCCTCAGCCTCCCGAGTAGCTGGGACTGCAGGCTCCCGCCACCAGGCCTGGTTAATTTTTTTTTTTTTTTTTTTGGATTTTCAGTAGAGACAGGGTTTCACTGTGTTAGCCAGGATGGTCTTGATCTCCTGACCTCATTATCTGCCCACATCGACGTCCCAAAGTGCTGGGATTACAGGCGTCAGCCACCGCGCCTGGCTTCCACATTGGTTTTGATCTAAAAGGATGGGATATCTTGAATCGGGCTTACAGGCTATAGATAGATTCAGAGATTTTTCTGGTCAGGTATGGTGGGTCATGCCTGTAATCCCAGCACTTTGGGAGGCCAAGGAGAGAGGCTCCTTTAACACCAAGAGTTTGAGACCAGCCTGGGAAACATAATAAGACCCTGTATCTACACGTACAAAACTTTTTAAAATTAGAGGCTGAGGCAGGAGAACTGCTTGAGCCTGGGAGGTTGAGCTGCAGTGAGCTACGATTGCAACTGCATTCCGGCTTGGGTAACGGAGCAAAAGCCTGTCTCAAAAAAGCAAAAACAAAAAAAAATCCCAAAATTTGCAGCTGGTTAAGGAAGAGAAGCTTTGTTTAAAAATTTGGGGTCCAGTAGAAAAATGTTAACTGGCTAGGAGGTGTTACTTTCTCCACGCCCCTCAGGAAGAAACTTAGAACAAAGAATGACGATTAAAGTTCAGTCGTCATTTTCCTGTCCTCTGAGGTCTATGCCATCAGATCTATTTGGTGGGGTTCCGGGTTTCTGAGACAACTCAGAGACATATGTTAAGATGTTATCTTTAGTTTCTATGAGGAAATCAAACCTATTCCGAATGCTTAACTTCCTTGGCTATTGTCTTAGGCTGCTATTACCTTCTTGCTTATCAAGTTGCTACTTATTTCTCAGAGCTAGCTAGGTGCCTGGAATTTTCCTTGAAGAAACTCAGGATTTTGCTTTATTTCCATGCTTGGGAGTTCACAGGCCCCTAAAAAGGGGGTCTCTGCATCTCATTTCCACACAGTCAGCAAATTTTTTTATTAATTTTGTTTACTCTTCTGTGGTTCAAACCTCTAAGAAGATGTCTATCATCACTGCCGCTCCAAGCACTCACACACTTTTTTCTTCAATTCTGTATTCCTGTAGACTCTTATTTGCTCCAGTTCAGTTGTGTAACTGTCATGCATGCTGGAACTATGTGTCTGACCATCCCTATTTTCGTTGGACATTGTGGGGGTTGTGATTGAGTAACCTTATATTGGATTTTCTCACAGAGTATCCAATAGATGACTATTACATGGAAATTGAATGAATTTGGGATAAGAGATGTTAGTCTTAAGGCCTATGTTAAACCATTTATTCAACAAAGCAGATTCTTTTAGACTGCTTTATTTAATTCTCTGTTGCACTTTCCATAGAGTCTGTCTAGAAATGATTTTACTATACACAAACATTATAGCCTCTGGCTGTAGGGAACTGATAAACAGGAGAAAAGTATAGACATTTCTAGGTGCCAGTAAGAGAAAGAAGATAGAGGGAGTCATAAAAAAAGGTCTTACTACAGTGATTTGAAAAGTGGAATTAAGGTTAGCCTTACGTATCGGGTTGAGATTATGATTATGATTATTTGAGACGGAGTCTCGCTGTGTCGCCCAGGCTGGAGTTCAGTGGCATGATCTTGGCTCACTGCAACCTCCGCCTCCCAGGTTCTCCTGCCTCAGCCTCCTAAGTAGCTGGGATTACAGGCGTGCGCCACCACGCCCAGCTAGGTTATTCTGTTTTTGTTTTTGTTTTTTGTATTTTCAGTAGAGACGGGGTTTCACCATGTTGGTCAGGCTGGTCCCGAACTCCAGACCTTGTGATCGCCTGCCTTGGCCTCCCAAAGTTTATAGGATTATAGGCGTGAGCCACCGTGCCTGGCTGATTAGGATTATTAAATATAAAATGGGGGCTCTACATTAAGATTAGGATATGCTCTAATGAGGTCAAGGAGACAGTAAGATTAACACAAGGATGGCTAGGATAAAGATTAGGATTATAAAAGAATTAATATTGTTGTTCTGTGCCAATGCCAGGCTAAATGTTGAATCAAAATCATTTTATGTTGGAACTAGAAATAAAACTAAGATTTTCCTTTTTCTTATTTTATCAGTGTGTACTCAAAGGGAATTTGGTATTGCTGCCCTTGCCAGGGAAAAGCTGGGAGACAGCATCTGTGGGATTGGAACCCCAGAACCTTTTAGATATTCTCTTTGGAGAGTAGGATTCATTCATTCATTCATTCATTCATTCATTCATTCATTCATACATTTATAAAACTGGGTGCCAGTTTTATGCAAAATTCTGGTCTTTGCCTTCTGAGAGCCTGAAATCTAGTGGGTGAACTAAGCCAGAAACACATACACAATGAACTGTAACACAACTTTTTCCAAAAGTTTTATTGTTCTATTGTTTCTTATGCTTTGAAGTATTTGAAAAACTCTTATTTTAAGGAAGCAAAACCCCTTCGGCTGGGGGATCATTTAGATATAGTTTTAGATTAAAATGATTTCCTCAAAGCTTGTTGAGAAGTTGAAGCTTTTCACCTGGGCTCGGGAGGCATTATTTGTACCAAAAGGCAAGGTTAAGAGCATGGAGTCTGGAGCCAGTTTTCCTGGGTTCAAATCCTGGCTTGCACATTTTCAATTGGTAACATAAATTCTGTGTTTTAGTTTTTACCTCTGAAAAAGAATAATAATATTATCTGTTTCATAGTGTTGTTATAAGGATTAAATGAGTCAATATGTGTAAATTACAGGCGGTTCCTGACTTTGACCATTTTTTGACTTTATGATGATGCAAAAGAAGTACATTCAGTGGATACTGTACTTTGAGTACCAATATAACCATTCTGTTTTTCACTTTCAGTACAGTATTCAGCAAATTACATGAGCTATTCAAAACTTTATTATAAAATAGACTTTGTGTTGAGGATTTTGCTGAACTGCAGGCTAATGTAAGTGTTCTGAGTATGTTTAAGGTAGACGAGGCTAAGCTATGATGTTGATAGGTTAGGTGTATGAAATGCATATTCAACTTACAATATTTTCAGTATATGATAGGTTTATCGGGAGGTAACATCATCATAAGTCAAGGAGCATCTGTTCTTTAAGTGTTACTTGGGTTATCATAACGATTACATAAATGCTTTGTAGTATCATAACAATACCTATGTCTTTGAGCAAAGTACAGTTCGGATGACCCTGGAGCAGAAGTCTGGGATGTCACATGCAATACCATATTTGGCCGGTAGATGACACCAAGGTCCACAATGTCGAAATTGTGCCAGCCAAAACATTAAGATATTTTTGTGTCTTTCTAGCTGATCCTTTACCTGCGATTTGTGGGCATTGTAAGGGAAGAAATAGGACTAAAGAAGCTAATTTACATTATTAAAGCTAATCTACAAATTTCCTTTGTAAGGCTCAAGCCTGAAATACTGAGATATTTGATTATGGTGTGAAAGCAACAGTGTGTATTTGAGAGTTGCCTGACTGAAAATTATGGGGCCTGGATTTTAGTTCTGACGCTGTGGACACTGTGTGTTCCTGGGTGAGTTTCTGAACTTAACTGGGTTTCAGCTTCCCCTTATCTTTAGCTGTTATTTGAGGAATAAAATAGAATGAGAATGCAAAACAGACATATAACGAAGTGGAAAAACATGAGGGAGAAGCAAAGAAGATGTGGTAGGAATTAGAATTGGAGGTGAAGGAATAGTGGGCATATGGCAAGGGAGGGGAATTTAAAATGGAAATGATAAAGGTAGGAACATGACTATGGAGGCGAAGACAAAATAGAAAAATATAAAATATTGTACTTAATGACTATAATTTGTCACATAAAGATACCTGCCTTTACTACATTTCAGATGCTGTCTCTTGCACGCATACACACAGACATGTGGCTTTCATCCATTCTCACAATGTAATGGGTGTGAGGAAGGCAGAGGGGCAGTGAACTCAAACTTTCTGATAAAAGCACATGGAATCTCCTCTCTTTTAAAGCACATTAAGCAGCTCTCCCTCAGCTTTGTGTGAGCACCATTTCCTTCCCCAGCAATCTCCTGAATGCCCTGGTTACCTCCTTGTTCCTCAGGGTGTATATGAGAGGGTTCAGTGAAGGAGTGCCCACTGCATAGAAGAGACCAAAGAACTTGCCCCTCTCTTGGGCGTAGGGATTTTTGGGCTGGAGGTAAACAGCAATGACTGAGCTGTAGAAGAGGGTGACCACAGCGAGATGGGAGGAGCAGGTCCCAAAAGCTTTCCTCTGCCCTTTTGCAGAGTTAATCCTCAGCACTGCCCAGGTAATGGCTCCATAAGAGACAAGGATGAGGCTGAGAGGCACAACCAAGATGAAGACACTGGCAACAGCCATCTGGATCTCATTGTAGGAGGTGTCCCCGCAGGAGAGTCGAATTAGAGCTGGGACCTCACAGACAAAATCATCCACTTGCCAATGGGGGCAGAAGGGCAGGCGCAGGGTGGATGGTGTCTGGACCACTGACTCCACCAGCCCAATGACCCAGGCCACAGATGCCAGCTGCCAGCACAGGCGGGGGTGGATGATGGTGGCATAATGGAGAGGCTGGCAGACAGCCACGTAGCGATCAAAAGCCATCACTGTCAAGAGGATGCACTCAGTGGTCCCCAGGGACAGGAAGATGAAGAGCTGGACAGAGCAGCCCAGGAAGCTGATGGTCTTCTTTGGGCCCCAGAGGTTAACCAGCATCTGGGGGACACAAGTCGTGGTGAAGCAGAGGTCCAAGAAGGAGAGGTTGGAGAGGAAAAAGTGTATTGGAGAGTGGAGCCTGGGGTCCAGCACAGACAGCAGGATGATGAGTGTGTTGCCCACCAGGGTTAGGAGGTAGGAAGTGAAGACAACCACAAAGAGAGTCCTTTCCAGTGCTGGGTGTTCAGAGAAGCCCAGAAGGAGGAAGCCCATGGGGGAGCTTTGGTTAACCATGGCCTGTTCTTGTTTGTACCTGGAAGGATGAGGCTGTCGCCCCAGTGTGATTCAACTTGTCTTATCAAAACTCAGCCTGGGTGTTTGTGAGGTCACAGCAGGTGGGTGTTTCTCTTCTGTCTCTGCTCACCCAGCCTCCATTTCCCAGGCTCATCACCATCCAGCAGCTCCTTCTCGTTCCCTGTTCTTTCTGGTCAAACATTGCCTAGTGAGAATGAGGAAACCATGAATGTACTGGACAGTGGATGGAGACTCACACTGGTGCCTCTGACTTCCTGGGTGAGGGCAGAGGAGGCTGATTTAAAATATGCATTAATTAATTCATTCATTCAAGGGAAACTTACTGAGTGCCACTATGTTCTGAATGCTGTTCTAGAGTTGTCTC